CAGCGCTTGCTCGTGTTATTGTTTACATACGGGATATCAAACCTACTAGTAAACCTTGTCCCTAGGGCTCTCTCTTCTTGTGACTAAAGTTGTTCTGCGTTGTTCTGCGTGACCTTTAGCTTTACACAAAAAGTACAATAATGGACTTAAAGAAATCCTAAGAATCTGCCATTTTTGTGCCCACCTAAAATGGTGCTGCTGCTTGCAAAGTACTGCGATTGGTTGTGATTCTTTAAAACTGGAAAACTGGATCCTGTGGTGGATTTAGGGAAAGCCAAAAGGCTCACAGTCTCCCCCCCCCCCCATTTTGCTGAATACTTGTCATCAAAAATCCCTCAAAATGTTGGAAAAACATTTCTCAGGATCTCAATTTCAAGCTTTTTTGGGGATGTATGCCCCCATCTCTCTAGTTTTGATCCCCCCTGCTTCTAGGATCAAGTTATACTACTGCACTATATCTGTGATTTCTCTCAAGTCAATGCTACCTCTACCATACACTAAGATGGAGGAGGGAGAGCATGTAACATTGTTGTGAGATATCATATCAGTGCTGTATGCTGTTTTATAAAATTTTTGATATTTTTTGATATATAGCGCACGCTCTGATTGGCTGACGACCGTGTTTATATCAGAGGACAGAGACACGGCTTACCGGCAAAATGTTCTTTTCGCTTGAAAAATTTTATAAAAGAAATATAAAACGGCCGCTTGTGTCTCTGTCTTCTGATATAAACACGTTGGGAGTTGAAAAACACTCGAGAAGCAAGAGAAAGACTCGCTACGCTCGTGTTCCTAAGCTTGCTTCTCTCGTCTTTTTCGAACTCCCACCGTGTTTATATCAGAGGACAGAGACACACGCCCTGTTTTATATTTCTTAACTAGACCCTGACAGCAGGGTGTACTCGTGCCCTAAAGGTGTTGAAAAGTGCTGTCTTATTCAGTAATTTTTCAAAATGAGCTCATTTAAAACTTTTCTTGTGTTTGACCAATCATGTAATATACTGCCTTTCTCAATTTTCAAAAATAGTTCGACTGAGTTGACGCTCTAAGGAGGGTCTGGTTTAGATGTAAATAATGGAATAGTGCTACCAAAGGCATGCAGTTCATCTATACTGATAAATCACAAAGTGATTTGAAATCAAACTATATTAAGAGAAAACATTTGTGAAAGTAAATCCTTGTTGAATACTTTTATGTAATATTTAGCAGCTTTTGAAGGAACTAGATATACAATAATAAAAGCGTAGAATCAAATCGTTCACTCTGATAGTCTTTTGCGTGAAACATAGTAAGATTAATATTGTAGTAATTTAAAGGTCAAGTATACTACAGTATCAAAATCAGACAACTCGGCGCTGTGTGGCGAGCAATCTTTGCAAACAGGAAGGGCCCGCTCTATAACCATGCATGATCGCTTCAATGATCTTCATCTAGGAATACTCAGAATCAGACAGCCATGTAGTCAGCTACGAAGTATCGGTTTATATCTCGCCAAGGAAAATGAACTATTTGGCTAGATACACCAACCTTTATGACCTAAACCAATGTCCTAATACATGTCCTAATGCATACAGATGAATGTTTTGGAATAACAAAAGGCCTCGAATATCAAAGAATTACTAAAAAACTACCGAGTAAATCCCGGGCAGTTATTGCTGTTCTATGATACGATTGTTTAGAGTACTGGTTCGTATGTAGAAGAGGTGTCGATCGTATAACTTGAGATCTCTTCGCCTTTAACAGAAAACTTTCCACTATCCCAAATACTCAGATGAGTAATAAGCGGCAGAGTCTGACTTCAACAGTCGATAATTCCGAGTTTTGAAGAATATTTCTTCAATTCAAACTGCGTGCTGCATGAGACATCCACGGGCTTCATTTATCTACGAAGTATCGATTTATATCTTGTTAGTATAAAAGCTACAGTAAATTCCGAGCAGTTTTGCTGTTCTATGATACGCTTGTTTACAGCCGAGTTCGTAATGTGATATTTCGTTTAGAGATTGGAGTGCGATCGGGGGCAAAGGTACAGCCGAGTTCGTAATGTGATATGCGTTCGGGACGCAAAGGTCAGCCCGAAGACAAAGGTCTCACATAGAAAAAAAAAACTATACGCGCTGCATTTTCTGACTCGTGACCCGGCCTAGGGCCTCGTCACGAGTAATTAAGCTTAATTAAATATAAGCTTTTAAGTCTTATAGAATCTGCAGATTGAGCTAAATGGTTATATTTCGCTTGCACATACACCAATATCAATCCTTTTTTATTCAAATTGCTGTCTTGACAGCACTCTGGCCTAAGTACCTGAAATCCTCGCATAGGCATAAATCTCAACCCAACTTTGGTGGGATCCCCGTTTAATAGCTCTCTGCGAAGAGTTCCCAGCCCTAGCAATCATTGATTGACCATAAATGTACTCCTATACTTACTTCAGAGGTTTTATACGAATATCCAATACCACCAAGACAAAGAAATACAAAGAAAACTGAAGAAAACAGAAGAAAACAAGTATAAACCTTTGATCACACCTCCAAATCCGCCATTTTTCAATCTCGAGCCCAGAGTCTTCACGGCTAATGTCAGCGGTATGCTGACGCCGGAAAGACTCGTCTGGACACACAGGGAGCCCAAGCAGTGACTTTGAACCTATAATGGTTAAAAATAAAATTTTACTTAAAAAAATGGTCTACTTTTATTTTATTCAGTGTCACAATGCATTATAAATGGGTTTAAAAAATATCCCCTACCTATATATATATAGTGACAAGGGAGGAGACTCCGCTCGAAATTCTCCCAAAAATGAGCCAAAAACGATCGACAAAAATCCTTTTTTCGCACCGAAATTAAATAAAAACGAAGTTTTATCTGAGACAGCAAATGTAAATCAACGTTTTTTACCTTATTTTGGACGAGAGGCATCGATAGAAACGCTTTT